TGCCAAGGACCTGTCTGTCTGTTAATTAAATGCCATAACTTATCTTTGACTCGGAGTGTGCTTGGGTGTGGACCGGGGGGGGTTAGAACATCAACCCTAGTCCTTCTTTAGATGAATCCTCTGCTTGTCTGTCTCAGCATCCCTGCTACACTTAGCTGGCTGCCCTTAAGTGTGTTTGACTGTGTTTGACAGCAGTAAGTAGCACTTAGCAATATGACTTAGCTATAGCCCTTAGGCTTATATGCTGCTTCACAGTGCTTTACAGACCTCTCTACAGAGTCAGAGTCAGAGTTTACAGAGTCAGCCTATTGCCCCCAACAATTTTGGGTCCTCATTTTACCCACCTCGGAAGGATGGAAGGCTGAGTCAACCTTGAGCCTGGTGAGATTTGAACTGCCAAACTGCAGGCAGCCGGCAGTCAGCAGAAGTAGCCTGCAGTACTGCACACTAACCACTGCACCACCGAGGCTCAATAGGTTGTGGGTGTGAGTGGGGTCTGACTGCCATGGAAAGGCACAGAGATCCGGTTAGGGGGCTGTTGGTGCAGTTGTAGGTTTTATGAAGATTAAGGGGTGAGATGAGGGCCAGGCATATCTGCAGCAGGTGGTGGAGGAGGGGTCACAGGTGGGGCAGGGGGAATGTGGTGGGTGTCATAGCGGCTTCCTTGGAAAGGGTCCGGGCGCTGCTCCTCTTGATTCTCGGATGGATCGTGGCGCCAACGCTTGAAGCTGTCAAAAAAAAAGGAAATTGGCTTGAGCAGGGAAGCGGCTGCATGTTAATTTATTTCTTTGATGGACCATCCTGAGTTTTCCATGAGATGGAGGCCATATGTTTATTCCTGTCCTTTTATTCCACCCCCCTCCCCCACGTAAAAAGGGCTCAGGGAACTAAAATATGCTGAAACTTGACTAAAGTCATCCAATGATATAACACGAACTTGACCTCAATGTCTTCAGTCCTGGGACCACTGTACCGTATTATCTTGCCAATCATTGACAGTGGCAGAGGGAATATGATTTAATTCTCACTTGGATTCAGTGATGTGTGCAGAAAGGCCAAAAAGTCAAGCTGGTCAAATCCCTAACTTTTTTTTTTATGTGTTCAGTTGCACAGCCATGGTCTCTATCTTTTGACCCTCTTCACTGTATACAGGTAAGGGTAAAGGTTCCCCTTGCACATAAGTGCTAGTCATTCCCAACTCTAGGGGGCGGTGCTCATCTCCGTTTCAAAGCCGAAGAGTCAGCGCTGTCCAAAGCCGTCTCCATGGTCATGTGGCCGGCAGCACTTTACTCGCCGAAGGAGCACAGGACGCTGTTACCTTCCCACCAATGGTGGCTCCAATTTTTCTACTTGCATTTTTACATGCTTTCGAACTGCTAGGTTGGCAGAAGCTGGGACAAGTTACAGGAGCTCACTCAGTTTTGCAGCACTAGGGATTCGAACCGCTGAACTGCCAATCTTCTGATCGACAAGCTCAGCTTCTTGGCCACTGAGCCACTGCATCCCTCACTGTATAGAAGGGATCAAATAATCAAACCCCCAGATTATACAGGTAGTCCTCAATTTACAACAGTTCATTTAGCGACTACTCAAAGTTGAAACGACACTGAAAAATCTGACATGACCCTTTTTTCATAGTTATGACCTTTGCAGCATCCCCGTGGTCAGGTGATCAGAATTCAGATGCTTGGCAACTGGTTCAGACTTATGACCATTGCTGTGTCCCAAGGTCATGTGATCCCCTTTTGCGAACCTCCAACAAGCAGAGTCAATGGGGAAACCAGATTCACTTAACAACTGGTTTATTACTTATCCACTGCAGTAATTTCAACTGTGGCAAGAAAAGTCATAAAATGAGGCAAAACCCACTTAACAAATGTCTTACTTAAGGACAGAAATTTTGGGCTCAATTGTGGTCGTAAATTGAGGACTACCTGTACAGTCCTAGCCAGCACTTGGCTCTGTTGATTCCCTTACGGAGAGATACCTGATCTCATTAGTGCTCCTTTCTCCTGCCAGCAGTGCAGAAGTGGCCTTAAACCTTGCAAT